AGATCAAGCACACAGCTTTACCTTTCATTTCTGTGAAGGAATACTTGGTGGTCCACATCTGGTTAAAAGCATTATCAGCGTTATCAACTTTTCTTTTCTTAGAGTGTGCTGGCCTCTTGAGGGTAAAGCCAATTTCTTCTTCTCCGTCAGCATTGTTATGAAGACACGCAGTGTTGGCCCAAAGGCTCTCTCTGACGGGCTTGCGGAGTGTGACGGAGACATGCCCCCCCCCCCCCCCCCCCCCCCCCCAAAATGTCCGTCGAGAACGTGGGAGAGCGCATGCCTGTGATTGATCGGCACACTCTTTCCTTTCACGTATGCTTCATTTGTTGCTGTTTACTGACCCCTTCACTCAACGCTCACACGCGGGCCAGAAGGGGATGCACAAAGGGCCGGATGTGGCCCTTGGGCTGTAAAATACCCAGGTCTGCCCTAGGGTACATTGTCATCTTATGCACCCTACAAGTAACTTTGTAAGGGTCGTGTAGAAAAAGGTGTTGGGTATTTTTAAATCTTGAAACTTAACCCTGAAATGAAACCACACACCGTGGAGGAAGTCAGTAGGTTTTACGCTGTGAGGAGACAGCGGAAGCCTGTCCAAGGCCCCTGTCCAGTCAACTCTGGCGTGTTCTCTGCACCACAGATGGTTTAATTGAAACACAGGCATACAGAGACAAAGGACCATACATCATTGTCCACATTTGACCAATAAACACTGTTGCTTCTATGTAAGGCAGGACCTTCTAAAAAGGAAGTCTCAACTTACAGGGTGGCTGCTTGCCTTTCCTGTTGCCAAGCAGGACCTTCCCAAAGGAAGTCTTAAGCTGGGCGGACACTGTGCGACTTTTTCACTCGTAGCACTCAGCTTCAGCTCAAACTGTACGACTTCCTCGCAGGGCAGCTCTCACGAGTCATGCGCTCACACTGCATGACCCAGTTCTCGGATGCGACCTGACTGCTCACACTGTACGTCTGGTAGCAACACGTCGGCCCTAAAAATATGCTAAAAATAGCAGTTTTTACTCAACACGTCAGACTTTTTTGTCTTGTTTTGCCTGTTGTCCTTCGGGAGTGCTGCAGGAGGACACACAGGGATTTATGGGGGTTGGATGAGGAAAACAAAATAAAGAAAGTAAATGTGTGTTTTGTGATCAGTTTAATTTGACATGAACACGACAAACACACTTTCTTGACAATCCTTGTCATTGTATGAAAAAGACGTGTAGAAATAAAAACGAACAACATGTGTTATTAGGGAAATAGCGGGTGAGCGGTGTTGATGCAGGATTGCGCATGCGCCGTGAGCGGTTCTGATACTTTTTGGGTCGCAGCTGCTCACAGCGCCGCTTCAACAGTGCGATATCGTCACGAGGGACGAGCAAAATATCAAACACGCCAGAAGTCTGTGCGAGCTCACGATTGCTGATCGGTAGCTGGTCACGTGGTGTTAATCGCCTCTCGTAACCCCCTGTACACTACACGACGCTCGGCGCAAAACTCGCCCCGATCTTGTGGATTCTCGCATGAGTGGAAAATCGGCTCAAAAAAGTGAAAAAGTCGCACAGTGTACGCCCGGCTTTAATTTATGACTGACAGCCAGAAACTCAGTTAGCAGGGATACGAGTTGCCACACAGGCTATCCCCAACCCCATGCTCATCAGGCCGCATTCCAGAGCTATGAGGAAAGGAGAAAGAACCCTGTGGCTTTCTTATTAGCATATGATTACTTAAAGAGGAGCATTTAAAACAGTGAGTGCGTTTACATGCAGCCAGTAATCCTTTTAAAACCTGATTATTCACAATAACAAGGTTCCGCAGGTCCATGTAAACACCGCCAAAAACCCGGACATGCTCATAACCAGGTTTTTATAAACCCGGTTAATACACCTTCGGTAACCCTTTTCTAACCCGAATGTTTGGTCGTGTAAACGCATATCGGGATATCCCCATCAAAGCGTGTGTTCTGCGCATGCTCTGTTCGCAAGGAATCTTGGTCTTTTGAGTAGTGAGACGTCTTGTATGCGCCAGAACACCGGAAGTAAACAACAAGTTGGGGGCAAAATGGCGAGTCGCGGCACAGCACCACACTTTTGGAGTGACGAAACTAAAGCGCAAACAAACGCGGTCGCTATCTCTTCCGAACTGGGAAACATGTTGTTTTCACGGATACCGGAACAAGAAGAACCGGAAATGATGCATATTGCGTCTGGACATAGTCCATACGTCCTGACGCTACCCCAACGTCCGCATTTAAATCGGGTTATGCAAGTTAGAGGTAACTCTTTCTATTTATGCTTGTAAACGGGTTATTCTGATCAACTCAGAAACTCGAATACCGACCTTAACCCGATCATAACCCGGATATTGGCTGAAGGTAAACGTAGTCAGTAATACATCAAAATACCTAACAAAAGGTACATATGTGTACTGATTAATTTAATGTTATGTTGTAAAGACTGTAGGCCATCTCTGTATGAAGTGTCTTTATTGACTTTAAGATAGATATTTCAGTGGTACTGTTTAGCGGTTCAGATCCATGTTAAGGTGACCTTAGTACTTTACTTAACCCACTACATTCCTAATACATGCCTTGGACAAAGACATTTTTTACATAGTAGTGAGAACTTTGTACTGTATGGAGGAAGTCTTTTAACAACGTTTCCAAATCGGTTCTTCCCCCGTGTCCATCATGCTGCTGCACGGATCAGAAAGTGTAGAGTAGCTCTGTAATTCCAGCTTGTCACTTTTCAGGCACACGTGTTCTTCCAGATTTTGTGAGTCGTGTCATTTCTCCTACGCAAATCCCTTTCAGGATGGACTCAAAATGCAGAATTATGTCAAAAAAGTAAAAAAGGCATGAAAAGTTTGTGTATGACAGTAAGTTATGGAACCCACATTTCACTCTCCTAATGTCTGCTGATGCAAAACTGGCTTAATACGCTGCTATTGAGAAACGAGTGTGAACTAAACTGTGTTTGGAAAAGTGTGAGGGCTTTTTTAAAATCACATCAGTGACAGAAGGGTTGCAGCTGAAGGATGAGCTCACTCTGGTGGTTCCACTCAGGGAAGTTAAGCAGTCCTGTGCTGCCATCTTGTGTTTGTCCACAGGAGGACAGGGCTGGTTTATTGTGCCATCATGACTTCCCATACTGAAAACATGCAGACTTATATTGTAATTACCTAGTTCATCTGTAGAAACCATCCTTGCTCTGTGGGACCTCAACAGGTGTCTAGATCCGGTCAGAACAACTACAGAACTGCCTGAATCCAGAAAAGGTCCTCAGGTCTCTCACAAGCAGCAGGTTGTCAGATTTCTCTGACGGGTCATTTGGCCTCCATGTCTGACCTTTGTCAGTGAGCATCTCATCTCCAAGCTTCAAACATAACATTTCAAACACAAAGGTTAATAAGAAGTTCTGGACAACTCGGAGGTCAAAAATGTTGTTGTACTCCACATGTCGAAGAAATGAGCAGCTGAAGGAAAGCATCCCTCCCAACAGCTGGATCAGTAAGTATCACCTTAGATGAGGAGCTGAATGTTTCTTGTGTCGAGTGAAGCATTGTTGGAATTCAGCAGACATGTAACTTATCTTAAATAAAGCTCCTAAAAGATCCCTCCAGCAGGTGGCGCTGCAGCACGAACACAAACCACACGGAGGCCTCAGCGATGTCACGTCATCTAAAAAAAAACAGGCAAGTCATCCAGGGATATTACGTCACAGCACTCACTGAGACACTGGTTGTTTGACTCAGTGTTTTATTTTGAAAGGGAAAATCGATCCACATGAGATGAATAACAATTTAAATATAAGAAACATCAAAGACAGTAAAGTTCTGTTCCCTTCTCAGCAGCTGAGGTCATGATGGTGACTAGTGGTGTTCTGAGATGAGCAGCCTTTTCTGGGATGGATTCCCTCAGCAGCTGCTGCCAGCGGGCTGGAACCGAACCTCTGGGAGGATCAGAGACCAAAGGCCAATGGGATTCATGACATCAGCTCCTGACGTCCTGGTTTTTATCAGAGGATGATGCCATTAAGCAATAAACAAAAATAAAGTCACCAACTGCTGTAATTTCCAGATCAAATGTTTATTCATTTTGATCAGGAAGCCTCGGTATATCAACACATTTTACAATTTTCAACCAAACCAAATTTAAAATTTAAAATTTTTGGTGACTTGTACCATTTTGTTTGTTTTAATGTAGGTTTTGTGTTAGATTTAGTAAACAAGTAAAAATTACTTGTCTAAAGGGGTAGGGACACATAAGTTTCCACTTCAGCCTACTCCTTTTCAAACAGAGAAGAAGAAAAAAAGGGATGATGATATGTATTTTTTCAGTTTGTGGTATTTAAAAAAAATTATGTATGTTTTCTTTGTTTGAAATAAACTAAACAAAACAAAAAAATAACAGTTTAAACATTTTTAACATTTCATCGTAAATTATATTCCGGAATTAATCTGTCTCATAAACCAATAATATCTGGTTAGAATTCACTTTACATCTGATATTAGTGATTTATTGTATTTAAAATGTAACTAATAAGTACACCTGTGCAAGCATGGACACTATCAGATGGTAGGTTCTGGGATGAATCCTTCAGCATGGGCTTAAACTGTAAGTGCCGGATTCCTTCTACATTTAAAAGCCATATTAGTGTTTCCTAATAGTTGCTATTACAGCTTTATCTGTGTCAAGAGCCTCCCTGCAGATGAACACAAATGATCTTTGTCTATAAAGGCCGTACACGACTTGTGTTTGCTCCACTAATAGCAAAACGTAAATATTTTGGGCAAACAAATACATTTTGTCATTCTCGTGATGTAAAATGGCAGATTTGTATTAGATCGGAGGGTATTAAAACACTTAACAGCATCTATAGAATGATTCATAGTTGATGGGATTTATTACATAATCAGTTGCACCAAACAGCTGTCCTCTGTCAGATTCCCTCTGTTATTTTCCTTTGAGAACATTAATATTAATGAGGAAGGAAGGCTGACCAAGCCTCTCAGTCGTCCCCCCTCCCCCTACATCCTCAGCCTGGATGCAGGAAGGCTCACTCTCTCCCCAGCAGACGGTCTCAGCATCGCTCCCCTGTCTCCATCTCTGCATCCCTCTATCCATCCCTGCGCTCTCAGCTAAAGGATCTCAGCCCACTGCTGTGTGGAAAGCCGGTAAGACAGTTTTGTCTCTTCTTTGTTTGTCTCGCTGCGTCTCTTTGTGGCTGCGTTTTATCAGGAATCGAACAAAGAGGCTGGGGTGTGGCTGGAGGGAAAGAAGCTGGCTGCTGAAGGCAGCAGGGAGATGGCAGGACGATGGTTGTGTTTTTGGTGTCAGAGACAAAAACAATCACAGGCTTTGAGTGATATAATTATTATTTTCACATTAGAAGAAGATTATATTTGACTGATGATGTCTGGCACCAGCATGGGCAGAGGGGCGATCGAGGACATGATTCAGGAAAAAGACGCAGGCTTCCAATTCTTGTTATTTGCCAAGAGACATTTTAAAGCCTCGTTAAAATCCACTGAAATGCAAATGATCAAGTCGACAGGAGGTTTGTGTTGCCACATGTCTGACAGAGCAGCTCTGACAGGCATGACTGGGCTGGGCTGTTTTAGACCTGAGGCCAGGTCCTGCTGCAGCACAGGATCGCCTGTGAGGGAGGATGCCGAGGAGGCGAGACAGGCAGACAGCGGATGCAGGAACAAAGACTCGAGCCTCGAAGACAAAAAAGTCAGACACAAAAGGCAGACACAAAAGGCAGAAACACAGCAACACGTTAGCTTCAAATCCATGAGCGTGTGTGGGAGGCACCTGTGTAGCCTGAGCAGCACATGTGGTAGCCACTCCCTTTGGCTGGACACATTACACACGCAGCTCCCATGATAACTTTTCAGATGAAACAAGGTGTGTGTGTGTGTGCTTTGTCCTCTTTTGCAGCCATTATGTCGGACAAGCCTGACATGACTGAGATCTCCCGTTTTGACAAGACGAAGCTGAAGAAGACTGAGACGAAGGAGAAGAACCCTCTGCCCACCAAAGAGAGTGAGTGTGCTTTTCCTTCGGAGCGTTTAATCCACAAATCTCCAGTTATCGCTTTAGCACACAGTCAGCATCAGTAGGGTGATTTAAAGCGAGGCCCAGTAAAGCCTCGAAAACCCAAATTCACCGCAGTGTTTCCCTCTTTCAGCCATCGAGCAGGAGAGGAAGGGCGATGCCACGCCTTGACTTGAGCACACGAGGAGGAGGAGGAGCACAGATGCCACAGAAGAAAAAGCACTTTCTTTTTGATTATCATAGTATTAGAACCTCCTACGTTGTCTTCAGAAAAGGGAGCTGTGAGCTCCCTGAGGTGCTATCCTCACATTGGGGGGGTGGGGGTGGGGGTGGGGGGTCATCTTTTACCACTCTGAAAACTTCAGCCTGGGTGCCCGTCTTGTACTGTTAGCTCAAAGCTGACATGTCTCCAATATCGCCAGACTGGGGAGTGGTGTAGTGATGTAGCAGAGAGGAAGATGGGCATCCACGTCAGGCGTTGCAGAGGAGGGGGTGGGGTTGTTCATAATTTAACTCAACACTTGTGGGCTGCTTTCTTATTCAACTTTTTACTTTTCTTTATGTAATAAACATGAAGACACTGAAACCATCTGCCTTGCTAAGTTTCTCCAAGTCTTGTTCAAAAGTGAATCTTTTCCAGTGATGTGAATAAACACAAAGGTCCAAACTCTTAGTGAGACATCGATAGCTTTACAGATTTCAGATGTACATCCTCAATGTAATAAAAATGTCTGTATTTGAATATAAAGTACATCATCCATGTAGCTGATACAGTAAGGAAGTATTTTGAAACATCTGCTATTTTGCAAGTTTTTTTAGTCATGGAAGGGTCTGAAAATCGCATTGGAGGTGCATTCTCACTGAAACACAGCATGTTAAAATTTCAGGCAATCACATTTTATGATTTATTTGTATTGCACTGCTGCAGATAAGCATCATGTTGTGAGGTAAGAGTCTAACCCACGACATACAGAATCAGTTACGGACTTCAGTAAGAGTTTTTAAACAATTATTAAAAGGAGGAACCAAGGGAGCAGCCTTAGGCCCTGTCCACAAGTAGCCGGGGATCTGCCAAAACGTAGATATTTTTCTACGTTTTGGCCTGTCATCCACACGAAAATGGAGTTTTTTCACACGAAAACATTTCTTTTTAAAAACTCCGGCCAAAGTGAAGATCTGCGTTTTCTCCGTTTTGGGTGTCTGCGTGTGGACAAAACCGGAGTTTTAAGGTCCGCAACGTCACTTTCCGCGACAAAAAAATGCTGACATCACGTGTGCGACCTGTGTTTACACTAGCCGGCATCATGGATGCCCTCAGAGCTGCGCTCTGTCACTACCCGATCCATCAATTGTCCAAGCGCTTTCTGCTTGTTTGTTTTTGCACGCAGAATTTCTGCTCCTTGCGGAAGACCACAGACAAAGGACGAGGTTAAGAACGGGGGAAGTACTGCCGCCTACAGGTCTGGCATGTCCTTAACAACGTATTTATCCAGGTACGTGTGGACAGAGTTTTTTTAAACGAGGTGGTGTGGATGCAAGTTTTTGGAGGGGCGGATATTCGTTTTTAAAAAACGGCTACGTGTGGACTAGGTCTAAGTGGTAGGAGGAAAACCTCAGACTGTGACAATAAGTAATTTAACATTTGTAAATAAAGAAGTCTGGCTCTCAAAGACCTGTTACTCTGCCTTTAAAAAGTCCACCTCTACTCCACTTTTTAATGGAGCACCTGTCTGCGCTTCTTAAAGACACCTGTCCACCTCACAGTCAGTCGGACTCCAACTACTACCATGGCCAAGACCAAAGAGCCGTCAAAAGACACCAGATAAAACATTTTGAACCTCCACAAGGCTGGAAAGGGCTACAGGGCAAATGCCAAGCAGCTTGATGAAAACAGATGAACTGTTGGAGCAATTGTTAGAAAATGGAAGAGGCTAAAAAACGACGGTGTGATTCTCCATCTGACGGGGGCTCCATCTCACCTGGTGGGGTTATCACTGATGATCAGAACGGTGAGAAATCAGCCCAGAAACAGTGAGGGTGAGCCGAAGCCTCGTGATGAACTGAAGCATTCCATCCAACTGGTCGACTCTTCATTCAAGGCATTGCTATGATTCATTTGCTCTGCTGCGCCACCAAGTGGACAATTTAAGTAAAACAGGCACAGTGGTTATATTGCCAGTAAAAGGTAAATGGCCTGTATTTGACATAGCGCCTTCTAGAGTCCTGGAACCCCTCATGGTGCTTTACAACACAATCAGTCATTCACCCATTCACACACACATTCACACACTGATGGGGATGAGCTACAATGTAGCCACAGCTGCCCTGGGGCGCACTGACAGAGGCGAGGCTGCCGAGCACTGGCGCCACCGGTCCCTCCGACCACCACCAGCAGGCAACGTGGGTTAAGTGTTTTGCCCAAGGACACAACGACAGACTGAGCAGGGCTCTAACCTGCAACCTTCCAATAGTAGGAAGGCCCCTATATTTCTTCCTATATTGATACTAGGCTTAAAACATTTTTATTTGATAGGGCCTATGGTTAAAATCTGATGTCAGCCTAGATCTGGACAAGTGGGGGAGTAGAGGGAGGTGGAGTGTACAGTCGGTAAAGACGACTCTTCCTTGCCCTGCCTCCAACATGCCTCCATCTAAAAGGCTAGGTTATCCAGAGTTATCTCTGTAGTTATGCTGCTATAGGCTTAGACTGCTGGAGGACACACAACCACTTTTCACACTCTACTACTTTCTTCTACAATCTGCTCTTTAACTGTATTATTTCCTGCTATTTCAGCTGTTAACTTTATTTTTTCTCTAAGTGTTTTTCTCCCCAGAAGAAGCTACAATGATGTTCTGCTGAGCTGTGGTGGCCTCATGGAGGGGGCCATCGACTAGCACACTGCTGCTAACCACTTAAACATTCTCCCTCTCCTGATAATAACTTTTTGCTTTCCTTGACGTTGGATGTGCTACTGCTAGTTTACCCGTTTAATTATAGATTCCCTAGGATAAATACAATAAAGTTTATCTCTCACCAAATAGAATATTTACTAAGAAATCACAATGTAACCATAGACACATTACTTTGTGTGTGTGTGTGCGTGCGTGCGTGCGTGCGTGTGTGTGTGTGTGTGTGTGTGTGTGTGTGTGTGTGTGTCTTCTCCATCCCCAGTGAGTCCTGCTTATACTGAGCCAGGATCCTCTGGAGGTTTCTTCCTGTTAAAAGGGAGTTTTCCTCTCCACTGTCGCTGCATGCTTGCTTAGTATGAGGATTGCTGTATAGTCACTGACACTAGTCAGTGACTTGATGCAATTTGCTGGGTTCCTTGTATAGGAAACTTTTTTCTGATTGGCTTAATGAACTGACCTGAATTGGAATGTTTATTATGTGAAGTGCCTTGAGACGACTCTTGTCGTGATTTGGCGCTTTATAAATAAACTTGAATTGTATTGATGTAACGTGTGAACCTTATAAAATCAAATAAATAAGTCAATGGTGTTTGTGATAATATTATATAAATCATAAATATCTAGTATGCAATAAAGTTCCACAACACAATGTGACGGGGAAATCAGAAGTGTTTTGTCGCCCTGTTTATGTAGAATCCCATACAAACCAGTGGGCCAGTTTCTGAATATGTCATGTGGTACAGACTGGGGAGCTAAGACTCCTTGTTGCTCAGTGACAGCCCTGAAACCTGACAGATGTAGAGATCTGTGAGGAGGAGTGGGCCAAAAACTGGAACTGCAAACAAAGGCTTCTGCACCAATTAGTAATACTGATTTTCTCAGGTGTTCAAACATGTTTGTACAACAGTCCTTAAAAATCATACAACGTGATTTCTTGATTTTTCTTCTTTTCAACACTGTCTCTTAGTGAGAATGCACCACCAATGTAAATTTCAGAACCCTCCATGGTTTGGAAGGAAGGTTATCCTGGTTATTGTCTTGTCAGTGTTGTTCTGTCCCACTCTAGAAAGCCTAGGTTCTTGCTCATAAATGAGCTTTTGTTTTTGCCATTCAGTTCTTTAGACTTTCGGCTTGGCTTACTGCCCTTGTGATAATCGCTCCTCATCCTAATAAAGGAAATTTTATTTATTCAACAGCTCCTGTCTCTGAGTAGATCTGGTGTTCTGCATTTTGGGCCCAAACCTCCTGTTCTCAACGTGACAGCAGCACCCACAACTGTAATTTGACAATGGCCGGCAAAAAGCTCCAGTTGTTTAAAGTGGTTGCAGTAACGAAATGTTACCACAGGATGTCATTTTTACTTCATTTCTACATAATGCACCTTTAACTTAAACCAGATTTAAAAAAATATAGAATGTATTTTAATCTCTGTATGTACACTTAAAGAGCGTCAAACAAGAAGTCAGGCTAAGGCCTCGGACAAACAGCAACTGGGTTAAAACAAGAAGTCTCAGGGGCGGAGTATATCTCAGCTTTGCTGCAGTTTGATTAACCATAGCTCCATTCATTTCATTTCATTTCATTTATTTATAAAGCCCCTTCTGCGACCAATGCAGACGCCCAAGGTGCTGAACACAACACAATAAAAACATAAAACCATCAGAATAAAATATAACAATCGTAAAACCAGCATAAAATCAATTAAAAGAGGAGAGTAAAAGCAAAAAATAAAATCCAGAAAAAGATTAAGAGGCCGGGGCATCGAAAATGGGTAAAATCTGCTAAACCTGAAAAGCCTTGACAAAAAAATGGGTCTTAAGGCGAGTCTTAAAAAGCCCCAATGAGGGTGACTGACGCACCACCAAAGGCAACTGGTTCCAAAGTGCAGGTGCCAACACAGAGAACGCACGGTCCCCCCGTGACCTGCACTTAGTGCGTAGAACGATCAACAAATCCCTGCCGGCTGAGCGAAGGGCCCGTGAGAGGGCATGTCTATGCAAAAGGTTTCCAAGATATGCTGGAGCAGTTCCTTGTAAGGCCTTGTATGCCAGCACCAAGACCTTGAATTTTGCCCTGCGGTGCACAGGCAGCCAATGAAGGGATGCCAACACAGGGGTGATATGCTCCCTGCGCCTAGTGCCAGTCACGAACCTAGCGGCTGAGTTTTGTACTAACTGCAAGCGTGCTAGCGCACCCTGACTAAGGCCAGCATACAGTGCATTGTAGTAGTCGAGCCTTGAAAGAACAAAAGCATGCGTGACAGTCTCTAAATGTACTCTGGACAGCAGGGGCTTAATTCTGGCTAGTCGGCGTAAGTTAAAAAAACACGATCGCACAACCTGGTTGATTTGCGCGTCGAATTTTAGGGCTGAGTCCAGTTGCACTCCCAAATTTCTGATAGTGGTCTTCATGTTGGATGCTAAAGGGCCCAGATTCACAGCATCGCATGGGTGTGTAGACATGCCAGGGCTAAGTACAATTACTTCAGTCTTAGCGTCATTCAAATGTAAAAAGTTTGTAGCCATCCAGGAGCGCACATCCTCTAAGACATCTACAAGCTTCGATATTGACCCATCGACCCCCCGCTGAAGGGGAGGTAGATCTGACAGTCATCAGCATAAAAATGAAAATGCATGCCGAACCGCAGAAGAAGATTCCCCAATGGTAGTAAGTAGATGGCAAAAAGAAGCGGGCCCAGTACAGACCCCTGTGGCACACCCCACTTGAGTCCCTTCCAGGCCAAGGAGGTTTCACTGACACAAAAACTCCTGTCAGATAAGTAGGAGTGTAGCCATTGTAGGGCTGCACCGGTAATTCCCGCCCAATGTTGTAGCCGATCCAAAAGTATGTCATGATCGACCGTGTCAAAGGCCGCAGACAAATCTAACATCAAAAGAATAACAGCATCCCCCCCCCCATCACAAGCTAAAAAAACATCATTAAGAACCGTTAAAAGTGTAGTCTCGGTACTGTGACCTGCTCTGAACCCTGACTGAAAGATCTCCCAGAGTTCGTGAGTGTCTAAAAATGCAATCAGCTGTAAATATACAACCCTCTCAAGCAGCTTAGATAAGTAAGGTAGATGTGAGATAGGTCTGTAATTGGCCAGCACAGCCTCCTCCAACCCCTTCTTTTTCAGCAGTGGTCGTACAACAGCCCTCTTAAAGGTAAGGGGAACCACACAAGAGGCCAGACTGGTATTTAAGATAAACAGTAAATAAGGGGCCAGAACAGAAAAAGCCTCCTTGAGCATCCTTGGGGGAAGAGCATCATAAGGGTAACCAGAAGGTTTTAGCCTAGAAATTAGTTCCTCTAGCTCTGTTATAGATATAGTCTTGAAGGCTGGCAGGTTTGCCCTAAGTGGCATAGGCTCCACAAAAACACGAGTGCGACCTACAATAGCAGCCATCGCTATCTTGTCCACAAAGTAGTGAAGAAAATCCTCACATGTCCCGGCCAACGCAGCCGTGGACCTGGAGGCAGAAGTTGCAGTTTCCAGTACTGAATCAATTACCTTAAAGAGAGTGCGTGGGTCATGAGAATTTGATTCCACAATGTTGGCATAGTATCTGATCCTAGCCTGTCGTACCACTTCCTGGTAATCAAAAAGTGACTTTTTATAAATTTCATAGGACACGTGAAGTTTGTTTTGCTTCCACTTTCGCTCAGCTCTCCTGCAGGCCTGCCTGGAGGCCTGGGTCTCATCAGACATCCACGGCTCTGCCCTATGCCCTCCTTTCCTAATCTTAAAGGGAGCAACATCATCCAAAACGGATGTGCATAGCGTGTCAAAACGAGTAATAAACTCTTCAACAGGGAGGTGGGCTAAGAGAAGATCCTGTCCTGATAGACCAAAGCACTCACTGAATCTCGCCACCTTAGCAGGATTTATGGCACGACTGCGCCTCTCAGGAAGAGAAGCTGGGACCTGCCGAGACAGAACACTAAAATTACATAAAATCGGAGAGTGGTCTGAGAAATCAGGCCTCAGCGTGTCCACATTAATGGACTGAAGACCAGAGGAAAGAACCCGGTCAAGAGTGTGCCCCTTCACATGTGTAGGACCCTTAACCCACTGAGAAAGATTCAGTGAACTTAACAGGTGCAAAAAGTCCTCGACCATCGGCTTATCAGGGCAACAAATATGGATGTTAAAATCTCCTACAATCAAAATCTGATCATATTTCAACACATTCATAGCCAAGAAATCAGCAAAGTCTTTTAGAAATTCCACATTCAGTCCAGGCGGGCGATAAATCAACGCCACAAAAAGTTGAGGAAAAGGTCCAAGTTCAAAAGAGCAAACCTCAAAACTAGAAAAAGGACTTAAATGGATAATCTGTTTGCAGCTGAAACCTGATTTATAAACAGTGAGGAGCCCCCCACCCCTGCCCGCAGTTCTTGGCGCATTAAAACAACTACAGTCTGCAGGTAATAATTCCAACAGGGCACTCGTGTCTCCCATCCGCATCCAGGTTTCACAAACACCCAAAAAATCGAGCCCTTGTTCCTCAAAGAAGTCTTCCATAATAAAAGTTTTGTTCATTTCCGACCTTGCATTAACCAGGCCGAGGGGAGCTGACGATGACGTGTTTAGTCCAGTAGCAGCAGAATCCAGAGACACGGGCGCAGTTGACACGTAGTCCACATGACGCAGATTAGCAAGGTTGGCACCCTTCCAGTGGTAGCAAAACCCCCGGAATACACGTTGCGACGGAGCATCCAAGTCGAAGCCCGCCAATGGCACCAAGCAGGATGGTGGAGGATCCAACAAAAGCAACGGCGCCACGAGAAGACGTCCAGGCCCACACAGCCCGGCGAGCTCCTTCCAGGACCAGGGCGGTTTGGCACGTAGGTGCACGTTTCCCACCTCGACAGCCACGACGCTGGCGGCGCCTCCTCCACTGATGACGACCGGATGCACACCGCGGAGGGACAGGTGGCACCGAGAGGCTCTGAAATGAGCGCGGGGGACTAAAATCCCCCCGGCTCGTCACAATCACCGGGCTGATGAAACCGACATCAGGCCGGAGTTTCAGAAGCGTTGCTCGATCATAAGTCAGCAGTAGGAATGCACTGTCCACACAAAGCACAAGAACCAAAAAAAGAATAAGCATATACAGAGGAGAGTGTCCGTGAGACAGACGGCGTGCCACACACACCGGCGCCATCTTGTATGATCCTCCATAGCATTCGTCTGCAGATCCTCACATCTGGTGTGCCTTCAAGCTGCTTTTCACACAACCTGCACACAGTGAAACGTTTGCTTTGTGCAGCACATGTAGGAACAATCACCGTTTTGTGGTAAACACCTCTTGGAGCTCATGGTACCTCTCCCTTTAGATAACCAAACGACACATGGGACAAAGTTTTTTTTTTTCTTCTCTCATGAATCCTTGAACCTTGAAACCTTCCTAAGAAGTCCACTTTCTTGAATAAACTTTGATCTGATCTCAAGCTGTTGGTTTGAGTTCAGCAGAAGGCTCTGATGAGAGGCCAGAGGATGCCCCGCCTCCAATCTGTATAAAAGCACAAAGATAGCCATAGCGTGGGGCTCAGAACCACCCCGTAGCGGTCCTTCAGTAGAACCCGAGCAGCCGGGACCTCAGGCCGGCTGGGTGATGGTACGTAGGAAGCATGAACCCAGCCCGTGGGCCACCACCAACCCTCTCAGCGACGCACCCACTGACAAGCCGACTCTGATCACTGGCAGCTCCGTAGTCAGAAACGTGGCATTAGAGACTCCAGCAACCATAGTTAAATGTTTACCTGGGGCCAGAGCGGGCGACATTAAATCTTACCTGAAACTGCTGGCTAAGGATAAGCATAAATACAGTAAGATTGTTATTCACGCTGGCGGTAACGACACCCGGTTACGCCAATCGGAGCTCACTAAAATTAATGTTGCTTCGGTGTGTAAGTTTGCCAAAACAATGTCGGACTCCGTAATTTTCTCTGGCCCCCTGCCCGATCGGACCAGTGACGTCATGTTTAGCCGCATGCTGTCCTTCAACCGCTGGTTGTCTAGGTGGTGTCCTGAAAGCAACGTGGGCTACATTGATAATTGGAAAACTTTTTGGGGAAAACCTGGTCTGATGCGGAGAGACGGCATCCATCCCTCTTTGGATGGAGCAGCTCTTCTTTCTAGGAATATGGCCAGTTTTATTAGTCCTCCATGACAACCCAGGGTCCAGACCAGGAAGCAGAGTCGTAGTTTAACACACCCCTCTGCAGCTTCTGTACTGTTACCCACCCACTACCCCATAGAGACAGTGTCCTGCCCACAGCCAAAATCACACAGATTAAATATCAGGCTTAATAAAGCAAATCATTGAAATCTCATAAATATTAGAACAAATTCAACTGAGCAGGAAACTAGAAAAATTAAATGTGGTTTATTGAACATTAGGTCAATGTTCAATACACCACTGTTTTTTTCTCAGACACCTCAGAATAAATAATCAAGGCTTTAATTAAATTATTTCAACTGTTCCTTCATGTTCTTCAAAAAGGTTTGGCTGTAAAACAACACAACCACCTAGTCTGTGTTAGAATCTTCTTATTGGGCTTCTTTAGCACCAACCTGTCTGATTACTGAGGAACCTGGGCAGCATGGTGACAGAGAAATGGCTGAACCATCAGAGAAACGCTGACCAACTTTAACACAGGAGAAAATGTCTCCATTCTTTATTGTAACAGCATTTCTCCACCGTGCTCATCTCCCATGAGTCCAGGACCACTCTGTCGTTTCCTTTTTGGTTTGGAGGTTCATGAGCAGCGCGCGCTCCGCACCTGTGTCAAAGTCCCGCCTGCTAGCTTGATTGACAGCTGCTTTTTTTTTGCCTCACACTCAGTTTATGCGAGATTCAAAGACAAAATGGGAGACAGTCAAAAATGTCGGACGGTGTCTCAATTAGCAGGACCTGTGAAAAATAATCTAAATTCAGGACTGTCCCACAGAAAGCAGGGAACTTGGTCTCCCTAACGGTGGCATGTCAGCCACTCAGAAAGGCTCAGAGCCTCAGAGCCCCAAACCATTTTTGAGATGGGAGAGTTGCTGTAGTTTTGTTTCTAAAACATAATATTTTGTCCTATTGTATGGTTTTGATATATTACTAATGTGTTAAAAACCACCACAAACAGTAAAAAAAAAAAAGGACAATTAAAGGAATGTCAAACTTTAGGGGTACTAGGGGTGAATTTAGGGGTGCTTCAGCACCCCCCAACAACAGGCTAGAAACGCCCATGTCTGGAGCAAAAGATCTGTTTTTGATGTTCCTTGTGTTTCTAACTCGCGGCCAGTAGGTGACGATAAAGGGCAGTGAAGGGATGCCAACCGCTAAAAACCATTAACAGAGGAAGAAGAAGAAAGCAGCAGCAGTAGAAGAAGAAGCCGTTAGCAACGTTAGCTCGTTGTTGGGGCTTTGCAGTAAATGTTTTCTCTTCAGTCACTGGGAGAGTGTGTCAGTAAAAGCGACTGACTGCTGCTGCTGTAGGAATATTCTAGCCAGGCCGGGGAAACTTTATTCTCTTCCTCAACAACTTGGTGTGAGTTATTTCCAGAACCAGAGGAGATATATACGTGACAATCGGAGCTCATTAGTGAGGTCAGCAGAAAAGCTTTTCTTCCTGCTCTCTGGATCTGCTGCTGTTCCTGTCCTCTCTGAGAAACGCGCTCGTTTAGCCATCAATTGTAAGAGTTTCCCTTTTGCAGTCACGGTGATTTTAGTCGGCCATGCTGCTCTGGTCCGTCCTGTTCAGACTCACTGACGGAAAAGCCCCGAATCTGAATTTTACTTTGAAAAACAGGTTAGCTCGACTCGTTGTTTGGGGAGAACAAGCGTCATTTTTTTCCTGACAGGATCTATTCTCAGATCAGTAGAACCAAACCGCTTAATCAGCTCCTGTTTTTTTTCTATTGCAGCTGTTAGCAAAACACGGCTAAATCGATCAGCTGTGACCGATCATCGTAACCTCAACCGAACGTCTGTTCCATATGGATCTGAACAACATGACGTCAGGTACTGCTACACAGTTACTTCTGTGTGTGTGTGTGTGTGTGTGTGTGTGTGTGTGTGTGTGTGTGTGTGTGTGTGTGTGTGTGTGTGTGTTCTGAAACCAGAAATTTGCTCCATCACTTCTTCTTGTCACAATTCAATCAGTTAACACATTCCTTCCAGCCTAGGAATCCAGACAGATGGTGACAGAAAGAATTTTGCTCTGCAGCTTGGTCTAGCTACTCTCCAGGGAAGCGTCAGCAGGTCCGATCACTTTGATGGGCAGGATGTTATTGTGAATGAGTAAAACAGCTAAAATGGCAGTGGCTCGTTTAAAATGGCTTTCGCATCAACTTTGGACTATTTAGACTTGGGCTCCTCTTAGGGCCGTACGATGTGACGATATAAGATTGTTAAGCATTATAAAGTGATGGCGATCGGAGATCGTAGAACTGTCTTTCTATCACCTGTGCCATTATTCCTGGATGGTCTACTGGCACACATTTTTTTCACAGCCGAGTCACGCTATTTTATAGTCGTCTTCTGTCTGCACAACAGACACGGATGAGCCAATCAGAGCAAGGTAAAGGCAGCGTGTTGGTTTGTTTAGCTGAGGTGCTCTGTAGAGCTGAAAATAAGCTAATCGATGCATTAAACTGCGGACATAAACTATTAGGAGTCTTTGAAGAAGCACACCATACTCGATCATAGCGGCTAGCATTAGCTACTAGCTTGCACAGTTTTTAAGCAGTTGTTACGTGTAATCTCAAACATCTGCTTGTTCAAGGAACCTCGGGGTCAGTGCTCTGCTCTAAACTTTGCATTTGGCTTTGTGGCTTTTATTATTTGGAGATTGTGTGTGTGTGTGTGTGTGTGTGTGTGTGTGTGTGTGTGTGTGTTAGCGAGTCTTTTCACTGTGGTGGAGAGGGTGCTCGCTGCAGAACTACAAAGGCGGAGCTGCACCAGAGTCAGCCCCGCCCATTCACGCAAACTCAGCCTAGCCCACTGACTTCCGTTTTTGTTTTCAACTTTATCGCAAACTGACCTGACCCACATGAATTACGGCTGTTACTAGTTTACAGTCGTTAATGCTATGTTCTATGCTCCAATTAAACAAGATAAATATAACTTGCTACATGACAAAGTCTGAATATATCCCTAAATAAAAAGGTTTCTCTTAGCGAATATCTGCCCACAGCCGCTCTAACAAAAGTCCTGTACAACAGCATGTACCATTACTATGTCGGTTTGTTAGTCCAGTGGCAAGATCGTCTGAGTTGAGTTTTGCTTTCCCCTCAGCTGATGCTGGTTCGATTCTCGGTGAGGTTTGCAACAATCTATTTAGCCAGCTGAAACATTTAATTTGTTCATATTTTAGTTGTAATGTTCATTTTCAGCAAAATATTTATGTCTCTACAAGTTTTTTGAATTTGGTCGTTCCTAAACAGCATTTTAGTTGAAACTCTGCTCACAGATGGACTCACACTGGCTAAATAAACGAATGAATAAATAAAAAAAACACATTAGTCATTATATGTTAAACGGTATACCAGTAAATTGTTGTAAACAGTACTGGCAAGTGTAGCTAGAAATGAGGAAAAGAGATTATAGGAAATTTCCACTGCTGGGAGGCGTACCTGTGCAAAACTGCATGTCAACCTGACACCATCACCACTACACCACCACATCTGATAAAAATTAGGTGGCGTTACATTTTGTTATGATATTCGGTGTGTCTTTGGAGATGGGATGTATGGTTTATTGGCGGTGTCTCAGTAGAAGTCATTTTCAGAAATTATTTGTCAGAAAATTCACAGAATATCCAGATTTGAGAACCAAGACCAGACCCGCTTCGGGGGAGGAGACCAAATTGAAGCTGAGATGGGAAGAAAATGCATGAATGAGACCAAAAATGGCTTTGGCGTGTTTCTTATGAGGAAATGACAATATAACATGATTAAAAGTTCCAAAAGTTAGATTTTTAATTATATGGAACCTTTACAAAAACTGTTCAATTCACTTCTCAACTCCGTCCTCAATCTTGCATTTTTTTAGCTAAAACACCCTCTTTGGTTCCAGAATGCTATAAAGTCTGACAACTGGAAGGAATTGGACTGACTCTGATAGAATGGGCGGGGCTGATTCTGGAATGGGCGGGGCTGACTCTGGTGCAGCTCCACCTTCTGGTGCAGCTCCGCCTTTGTGGTTCTGCAGCGAGCACCACTTGGCTGTGGTGGCTGACTCAATAGAGCTCCGGACCCCACGTGACTCTCAGTTAGTGGACGCCATTTTGGCATGCAAAAAAGGTAAACAAACACGGATGTAAACATGAACGGGATCCGCTTGGATTTTACTTCGTCGGAGTTTACTTCACACTTTAAAACAGAAGAAATCGTTTTATATAGTCAGAAATTAAATAGACTAAACATCTCCGACCCTTACCGTGCCCCTGGGATACTTTTTAAAAACGCCAGAAGATGTCGGAGCGGACTTCTTACCGGCACAACACCAGACCTGGCCGGGGGAACCCCTTGGGATTCCCCCGGCCGGAGGAGCTGGGGAGAAGGTCTGGGACTCTCGACTCTACTGCCCGCTCCGACGCCAGAAGCTGTCGGAGGGGGCTTCTTACCGGCACAACACCGGACCTGACCGGGGAACCCCTTGGGATTTACCCGGAGGAGCTGGCTCCGGCGGCTGGGGAGAGGGAAGTCACGCTACTGCCGCCGCAACCCGACTCCGGATACGCGGATGAAAATGGATGGATGGACGGACAAATAACAGATTTACACGTAAGTAGTCTCGGTGTGTGATCTGACAATTGATCAACCATTGCTTAAAAATTAAATACAGCTTAGCCGGTTAATTGCTGTGATCATAAAACACGGAAACGGCAGCACGCAGAACTCACGAGGCAACGTTTTACGTGATGTTTACTTGTTGCTATGAGTAATAAGACAGAAAAAGCCACGCCAAAATAAGTTTAGGAAGCCCACTAAGAATCATAATAAAAGCATTTAAAATAAATACCACACACAGTTGAGGAAACGTTGGTTTAAGTACCTGATATGAAGTGGTCGCTGCATAAGCGAAAACCTTTACTCTCGGGATCCCACAGCTTCATTTTCGCCCGGTCACTAGCGCGTTTTATTACAATGATCCAACGTTTGCGGCGCTCCGGATCTTGGGGAATCCTGTAGATGGCTCATTCCTTATGTCGTCCGCGTCTGTTCTGCATCCTGGGGCACAACAGGAATCTACCATATTTCCCGTTTGATTGAGTTTTCTGACAATAACAAATAGTCCAGCTGCCGGCTTCTGCATGCCAATATGGCGCCGTTTCGATTTGAACTGTTGCATGCCGGGAAAAGTGACGTCAACTCCCGGAGCTCTATAATACCTAGCTGCAGAAGTAGCCCCCCCCCCCCGACAGAACACGCCCCCCTGTTGAGCTACCCCCGAGCTCAACAACGGTGGCCCTCCCAGCGAACAACACAATTGAAAGAAAATGAATAAAGAAATAGTAATAATGTAATTAAACAGGCAGGACTCCAGGTTTAAATATGAATGTATGGATTTTTTTGGCCATCCCCAGTGAGATTATTTTTGTTTCTTGCATACACACTTTATGGCCATCCCCACTGAGATTATAAAACACAGATACCACCAACAAATAATCAGTTGCCGGACAATAGGCACAACATACCTATGCTTACTGAAGTTAGCAGGTGAGTAATGTATGTGCAAGTGTTTATTTTAAATGCAATAAAATTAAATATCAGAAAAAGTAATTAGTGGTAATCGTTTTAATTAACCCCTTAAGTAGGGCTGCAACAACGAATCGATAAATTCGATGAAAATCGATTACTAAAAGCATTGGCAACGAATTGCCTCATCGATTCGTTGTGTTGCACAACTCTTCCGAAAGCCCCCTCCCGCCCGCCGTTGCGCGCAGACCGGAGAGCCGGCAGGTGTTTGGAAGAGGAACATGGCAGAAGCAGCGAGACCCAAAAAAAGTAAAAACTTCTAAAGTGTGGGAGCATTTTCAGTTAAATCAGGCGAAGACATTCGTTACCTGCAACGTTTGTAGGTCAGACTTAGCATGGCACGGGAGTACTACAGTGATGATGCAGCATCTTAAACGCAAGCATGTCAGAATCATCAGCGAGAAAGGAGAGAGCTCGGTGTCCGGGTAAGTTAAAAACTTTTCAAAAGTGATTCACCCAAGCCCCGGATTATTACACAGGCTAGACATGCCCTAAGCTCGTAAAAAAAGTCTATAAAATCGTAAGCGCGACGCTATTAGATAGTCGGGGGGGGGGGGGGGGGGGACTCGCGCTGCTGCGAACCGGTTCCGCCGTCACATTCCCGCAGAAACTGGTTGATCACACCGGGGCCAGACTACTAGCATGGGGTTTTACATCCACAATGTCCTCAGTAGCGAAAACACTTTTAAAAGGGAGCGAGGAGTCCTGCAGGCGTGTTGTGTGAGAGTGCAGTTATATACTGGTTAATATATTTTTTGGTTCAGTTGCTTTCATGTGGCCTAATGTGAGTCTATTTGGGATCATTGGAATGATCAGCAGCATTTCTTGATGTGACTTTATGGCAGTTGCCCAGGGCATCATCACAAGGAGGATGGCATTCATTTACTTTTGTTTTATTTGGTATTTTTTCAGTCATTTTTGGAAATAGTGATTAATTTTGATTAATTCACAGCCTGTGTTTAATTACATTTAAAAATTAGTTGTTTGACATCCCCAGTTATAATAAATATCTACAGATGAGATCAAACAAAACAGATGAAAATTGCCCTTAAAGAGCAAGTCACCCCCAAATAAACTTTTTTTTGCTGATACACTAAATAAATGAGTGTCTAATCGTGCTGCAGACACGTGTCGTCAATAATTTGGCACTTCAGTGCATCTTAGTTAAAATTTAAATATTCTGCCTAAAACTGGCAGTGTTGTGCCGTTGTCAGGTAAAAACTCTGCACTGTATTCTAATTTAAATCTGCCACCGCTATTGGCTAAGAAGTATGCTATGATGTAAACTGGTACATTATGATATCACAATGCTGTCATGAGCCTGAGTGTGTGTGTATTTGTTAGCGGCTCCGCCCTCTTGGTCTGCCAGGCAACAGCATGTGTTGCATTTTTCAAACATGAAGTGGGAGTGGAGTTAGACTCTGGTAGGGGTTGACTTGCTCTTTAAGCTGTTTAACTTGGACCAAGCATTTTAGGTCACAGATAGGTGAAGCTTAGGGTCTCTGTCTATACACCTTATAAGACAATTTAGGTGATGGCATGTTGTTTTTCTGCTATTGAACTGTTTTCTAATAATGTGTTTAATAAAGTGAAGGAAGGAGAGAAATGACGTTTCCCTAGCAGTTTTTAAAAATGTCCCTATGTAATCCGATTAATCGATTAATCGTGTCGAGACCCCATCCGATTCATCGATTATCCAAATAATCGTTTGTTGCAGCCCTACCCTTAAGCCCACTGGCCTCCATTTTTGGGAGCACGCCTCCTACAGCAACATTTAACTTTCAACCATTTGTTATTACAGGCACTAACAGTAGGTCTAAGTTCATACGAGTGAGTAGTTAATATTTATGTTACTATTTATGATTTTTTTATTGCTTCTTTACAGTGAAAAGCTGCTGATGTGTAATTTTTAGGCATATTTACATGTGTATATATGCATTTCATATATTCTGTTAACAGGAATAATTGCTGGCCCTTTGACACAAAATGTATTGATTTAGAAATTACTAAAATATTTTGCATTAAGTATACAATTCACAAGACTAGTAAACTGATATTGACCATACACTAATCTGTAAAGAATATACTGTAAACACAAAAGCAGAAAAGTTTGGCTTTAGAAAAAAAGTTCAGACAAATGAAACAACCAGCAACATCTTTTATTGGCCTTACAAAAACCTTCCCAAAAAAAAAAAAAAACCACAACGCCGAGTTTGTCATAAACACGGCGACTGAAGCAGAGTTCGCTGCGGCTCTTTCCTCTGTTCTAAATGACTTGGACACAACAAGTAGAAGCACTAAAAGCCTTTCTTGTAAAGAAAAGTGCTTGCGCTGTTGCCAGACACCTTTTTTTTTTTTTTTTTACTGCAGCTAAAAAACTACAGCATCGCGCGGTACAGTCAGCATTTCTGTCTTTTTTCTGACTGGTTATTTTTGAGCTGCCTAGTCCCGCCCCTCATGTGCCACTGCCTGTGAGTAACCAGACTCTTTCTGTGTGCAGAATTAAACAGAGGACGGGTCTGGCAGGCCAGGCTAGAGTTTTGGTAGTTCAGAGTATGAAAGCCATTTGTGTCGCCTCCGACACAACCGCAGCAGAAGGGTACAGCAGCTTTGGGGGCCCCTTAAGCCTGATTTATGCGTCTCCGTCTGCGTCAGTGCAGAGACACGCGACGCCATTATCCGTCCTTGCGTAGGGCACGCAAGTATGTACGGAGTCAAGCCCACTTTTTTAAACATCCGTCGAACGAGACGGATTATGCAAGCTTGTGATTGGTCAGGACGCCGCTGTTGTTTACAGCGCTGCCATTGCAAAGAGAGCTGAGTTTAACTAGCGGCAGACACGGAGAAGCTTGAAGAATGCCTCGCGAAAAAACTCTAAAAATATGAACGTTTAATTCTCCCGTGACTGGAGGAGTGAAAAGATGCGCAGCAAGCGTTTTTTTGTGGACGGAAATGACAGGAAACGTGGGTTTAGAGGTGGGGAGCGCATGAAGAGGTGGGAGAATGAGAAACAAATATGTCCGTGTTAAAAGTCTCTTATATACACAAAAAACAATATAAACACACGATCTTGGACCGATACATGACAGGATACCACAAAACAGCGCTACGCCCTCTGTTGTCCTGCCGGGCAATTGCTTTGCAACACTCTCCAGGAGACGGAGAAGTGTGAGAGCAAAACGCTTCCGTCAATTCGTGCGTGTCTGTCCCTTGCGGAGCTGATGGAGAAGCATAAACCAGGCTTTAGTGGCTTGGGGGCCCTATGCAACTGCATAGGTTGCGCGTAGGAAGAAACGACCATAGTATTGATCAAAGTGGAACATTCCAGGTACAAAGACAACACAGGGTCATGTGACTGCAAGCAAGCGAAGTGGGCAGCCCTTGGATTGTCATTCATGAGTCCAACTGCAGAGGGGAAGAAACAGTTTTTGTGATGAGAGGTTCTGGTCCGAATGGATCTGAGCCTCCTGCCAGATGGGAACGAGTCATAAAGATGTCACACAGATCAGCTGTGATCCAACCTGCGCGCCTCAATGTCCTGTTGAGTTGTACATGTCCTGTATGGAGGGGAGATTGCAGCCAATGACCATCTCAGCAGAGCGTACAACATTCTGCAGCTTCTTCTTGTCCCTGGTGGTAGCTCATAGGTAATTTTTCATTCATCCCCTATTACCTTAAAGGACGACACAGAGAGAGAGAGAGAGTAGATTGATTATTCGTAATGTCCATGAGTGGGAATCGACATGCGAGACGCAGAAATCCCCTCCATGGAACCAACCAGCCCCCACTCTGCTCAAGCCTCAGCTCACCAGCTCTGCATACCTGCATCCTCCACCAAAATGTTAGGTAATTAAATGTGGGGTAATATTTAATCTCCTTAACCCTGGAACCTGAAATAAACAGGCATGACAGAAAGGGAGACATTTTACCCTGAGTCCCCAAAATAATGGAGAGTTAACTCAGAGGAAACCCCCTCCGAGGCTAACCCCACGTCACTCACGCATGCCCTCGGTTTCCCAGGGGTTTTATTTAGCAAAGGATGGAGAAGGCGGGGCCTTCTCAGGTTACAGAGGTACAGAGTCTCATCACCCCCCACACAAAGGAAGATTCACAAACCAAGCAAAATGAACATTTAATAAAAATACCTAACAGTAGCTCCAGCATACCACACAGTGATTGAAGAGGTGAAGATGGACTTGATGACTGCGGTGTCGAACTGTTTCAAAACATTGTTTTACTATTATTGTCACCCATATGTGGGCAGCAGTAGCTCAGGAGGTAGAGCAGGTTGTCCAACAATCGGGGGGTTGTAGGTTCAATTCTGGCTCCCAGCAGGGAATGCTGCTGCTGTGTCTTTGGGCAAGACACTTAACCCACCTTGCGTGCTGGTGGTTGTCGGAGGGACCTTGTGATGCCCGTGTTTGGCAGCCTTGCTTTTGTCAGTGCGCCCCAGGCCAGCTGGGGCTACATTGTAGCTCATCATCACCAGCAGTAAAACTTCACCAACTCTGCATCTGTCTAGGTACGTCCACAAATGCTTGCGCACACTCTGATTGACGGCTGTACAGCACTCGGTTCAAATTACACGGGGTACTACGGGACAGGCCATGAGCTTAGCAAAATCTAAAAAGGCATATTACGTACATTATATCACAGTACATAAGACTATCGCTTTTATGGATTTCTAAAAAAGAAAAAAACATACATAATTCCTGAAAGGAGGAAAACTTTGGATTGCAGCTTTAAAGCAAAAATACAACTTTTATATACCGTAATTTCTGGACTAGAGAGAGCACCTCAATATAAGCTGCACCGGGCTAAAAGCCGCAGATATCTACTGAATAGAAAACGTAGTTTAACTGAATGTAACTGAACTGATCAGTATCAAACAAAACAGAAAAGTTATTGATTAGTTTATTCATCCTCCTCCTGCGCACTGAAACCACTGAAGTCATCTTCTTCAGTGTCAGAGTTGAACAGCCTCAGAAGAGCTTTGTCACATACCTTTTCTGTGGCGATGTCAGTGTCGTGCTCCGTGTTGCTGTCATCATCCCGGGGTGAAGCTGGGAAAACAAGCAGCGCCGTTTTACGGTGAAAAAATCCTCCTGGGCGCTTTCCATAGCACTCCTTTAACCATTCCTTCATTAGACTTTCCAGCATCCGTCCTTTCTGGTTGACTAAAGCCGCACCTCATTATAAGCCGCATGGTTCAAAGCGTGGGGAAAAGTAGCGGCTTATAGTCCGGAAAATACGTTATGTGGCTTGTGTGTGAATTGCTGCAGTCGGTAATTCACATATTGTGTTTGTGTTTCCTACAGATGCTCAACAGGTGGTACCGGTTAAAGAAGAAGATCCTAAAGAACAGAGTGCTGGTGTGGACCAGCAGGACCCAGAGCACTACCACACTAAGGAGAAACAGGAGGAACACTGGACCAGTCTGAAGGGAGACCACCTTCATTTGGAGAAAGACAGTGATGCTGCTAGATTTCCATTCACTGGAGTTTCTGTAAAGAGTGAGGATGATGAAGAGAAACCCCTGTTCTCACAGCAACAAATAGAAGACAGATCTGCTCAAACGAACAGCTCAGCTGACCAGATGACAGCAGAAACTGAAACTAGCATGAGCCCAGATCTGAACCCTCATGAACAGACATCCGATTCTTCTGAGACTGAAGTTAGTGGAGATGATGAAGAGAAGGATGATGTGAATCTAGACTCTGTGCTGTCAGACTCTGGGTCCAAAACTGGAGATGGAGACAATGATTGGAAAAAGAGCAGGTCTTATGAGTCAGATGTTAAGACAGTCAACAAATCCTTCAGCTGCCCTGAGTGTGGTGAACAATTTCTCCACAGGTGGTCTTTTCAGAAACATTTGAGAATGACAAGTCATTCAGCAGTGCGGCCTTCGGGCTGTTTGGGTAATAAGGAATGTGTTACAGTGAGTCAAAGTGGAGACTCATGCAGGGAAGTCCAGACAGAACTAAAACCCTTTAGTTGTGATGATTGTGGAAAAGGATTTAGTTCAAAATCTAATTTAAACACTCACATGGAAGTCCATTCTGCCCTGAAACGTTTTGCTTGTGAACACTGTGGAAAAAGATTTAGTTCAAAATCTAATTTAAAAACTCACATTAGAATTCACACAGGACTGAAACCTTTTGTTTGTGAGCACTGTGGGCGAAGATTTAACCAAAAGGCACAAGTTAACAGTCATATGAGAGTCCACACAGGACAGAAGCCTTTTGCCTGTGAGTTTTGTGAACAGAGATTTAGCCACAAGCAAACTTTAAACATACACATGAGTGACCACACAGGACAGAAGCCTTTTGTTTGTGAGTTCTGTGGACAAGGATTTAACCAAAAGGCAACTTTAAACGGTCACATGACAGTCCACACAGGACAGAAGGCTTTTACCTGTGAGCTCTGTGGACAAGGATTTAACCAAAAGGCATCTTTAAACATTCACATGAGAGTCCACACAGGACAGAAGCCTTTCACCTGTGATCTCTGTGGACAAACATTTAACCAAAAGACAAATTTAAACAGTCACATGACAATCCACACAGGACAGAGGCCTTTTGTTTGTGAGTTCTGTGGACAACGATTTAGACAAAAAACTACTTTAGACAGTCACACAAGAGTCCATACTGGACAGAAGCCTTTTACCTGTGAGCTATGTGGACAAAAATTTAACCAAAAGACAACTTTAACCATTCACATGAGAGTTCACACAGGACAGAAGCCTTTTGCTTGTGAGTACTGTGGACAGAAATTTAGCCAAAAGACGAATTTAAACAGTCATATAAGAGTTCACACGGGACAGAAGACTTTTGCCTGTGAGCTCTGTGGACAAAGATTTAGCCAAAAGACAAATTTAAACATTCACATGATAGTTCACACAGGACAGAAGCCCTTTGCTTGTGAGTTCTGTGGACAAGGATTTAGGCATAAGTCAAGTTTAAACATTCACACAAGAGTCCACACGGGACAGACACCTTATACCTGTGAGCTCTGTGGACAGAAATTTGGCCGAAAGACACATTTCAACAAACACATGAAAGTCCACACAAGTCGCAAAGAACTAATTTAACTACAACAGTACCTGAAGAGATCCTTGTAGTTTTTACATCCTAGATATTAGTCATGTGCCCCTGGTGGCCGTCATTTACCCTAGAACAGGAAGTGCCACAGACATACGTAGACGTGACATGGAGACACTGTCTATTGGAGCTAGCGTAGCGGCATGGCCACCATCTTGAATGGCTCCCTATTCACGCCCAGGGCATTTATTTCTACTGAAATACCTAACTAAAAAACTAATTTTATCAAGCTTTTTAACAAAAGCAGGCACATGATATGGCATGATAATTAAAATATAATTAAATAAAATCAACAAAATTAAATTACAAATTAAAATCCTAATAGGAAGGCTAGAAAAGTCAATAGTAATCCCATGTGATCTGTTTTCAGTAGTTAAGTAGTTGCAACCGTGGGCCACACAAAATCGGGCAGAGTTACTCACTCTCTGCTTATGGGGCATTCACACTAGCAACGACTCTACTCCACCTGTACTGGGTATGGAGCGTTCTCATTTGGATAGCCAGAGATTTCCCCTTTTAGACCCTCTTTGCAAGGTGGTCTGCTTGGAGTCGAACAGGTCCAACACACCGACTGCTGACTGGTCGGCTCAAACTCACTTCTACCATTAGGGAGGAGCCTCCGATTGGTGGACAAAATCAGTCTGCTTGGGCTTTCCACATATGCGATTCATTATCATGCTGGTTACTGAGGAGAGAACGCCTCTGACTGAAGCTGTCTGTCTGAAGAGCACGCACGCACGCACACACACACACGCACAGACACAGTGTCTCCCTCTGCTGTGAGCCCACACACACACACAAATAATTTCCCTTCCTCTACTGTAAATACACACTCACAGCGTTTTTCTCACTCTCTCTGAGCTTCAGTTGTGCAAAGACAGACTCTCATCCCTTCACACTTACTGATCACCTCACACTGTTTACTCATGACCATGTGTTATTTTTGTGGGGCGTAAGGATCGCCCCCACCACCGCGCACTTCTCCATGCCTCACCCACTTGCTCGGAGATGCGTTGATAACATAACTGATATCTTAGAGTCAATTTTGGAGACCCCCCATATGCTCAATCACGTCCACATTCCTAAGGAAATGGGTAATCATCCCAGCCAGGCTGGGGCGGGCTTGGCGGAGTGGAGAGGAGCAGAGCTGATGTTAGTGTGGAAGCCCTATTAACTGTATACAGGGAGTGCAGAATTATTAGGCAAGTTGTATTTGAGGAATAATTTTATTATTGAACAACAACCATGTTCTCAATGAACCCAAAAAACTCAATATCAAAGCTGAATGTTTTTGGAAGTAGTTTATAGTTTGTTTTTAGTTTTAGCTATTTTAGGGGGATATCTGTGTGTGCAGGTGACTATTACTGTGCATAATTATTAGGCAACTTAACAAAAAACAAATATTTACCCATTTCAATTATTTATTTTTACCAGTGAAACCAATATAACATCTCCACATTCCCAAATATAAATTTCTGACATTCAAAAACAATACAAAAACAAATCAGCGACCAGTATAGCCACCTTTCTTTGCAAGGACACTCAAAAGCCTGCCATCCATGGATTCTGTCAGTGTTTTGATCTGTTCACCATCAACATTGCGTGCAGCAGCAACCACAGCCTTCCAGACACTGTTCAGAGAGGTGTACCGTTTTCCCTCCTTGTAAATCTCACATTTGATGATGGACCACAGGTCCTCAATGGGGTTCAGATCAGTTGAACAAGGAGGCCATGTCATTAGTTTTTCTTCTTTTATACCCTTTCTTGCCAGCCACGCTGTGGAGTACTTGGACGCATGTGATGGAGCATTGTTCTGCATGAAAACCATGTTTTTCTTGAAGGATGCAGACTTCTTCCTGTACCACTGCTTGAAGAAGGTGTCTTCCAGAAACTGGCAGTAGGACTGGGAGTTGAGCTTGACTCCATCCTCAACCCGAAAAGGCCCCACAAGCTCATCTTTGATGATACCAGCCCAAACCAGTACTCCACCTCCACCTTGCTGGCGTCTGAGTCGGACTGGAGCTCTCTGCCCTTTACCAATCCAGCCACGGGCCCATCCATCAGGCCCATCAAGACTCACTCTCATTTCATCAGTCCATAAAACCTTAGAAAAATCAGTCTTGAGATATTTCTTGGCCCAGTCTTGACGTTTCAGCTTGTGTGTCTTGTTCAGTGGTGGTCGTCTTTCAGCCTTTCTTACCTTGGCCATGTCTCTGAGTATTGCACACCTTGTGCTTTTGGGCACTCCAGTGATGTAGCAGCTCTGAAATATGGCCAAACTGGTGGCAAGTGGCATCTTGGCAGCTGCACGCTTGACTTTTCTCAGTTCATGGGCAGTTATTTTGCGCCTTGGTTTGTCCACACGCTTCTTGCGACCCTGTTGACTATTTTGAATGAAACGCTTGATTGTTTGGTGATCACGCTTCAGGAGCTTTGCAATTTTAAGACTGCTGCATCCCTCTGCAAGATATCCCACTATTTTTGACTTTTCTGAGCCTGTCAAGTCCTTCTTTTAACCCATTTTGCCAAAGGAAAGGAAGTTGCCTAATAATTCTGCACACCTGATATAGGGTGTTGATGTCATTAGACCACACCCCTTCTCATTACAGAGATGCACATCACCTATTATGCTTAATTGGTAGTAGGCTTTCGAGCCTATACAGCTTGGAGTAAGACAACATGCATGAAGAGGATGATGTGGACAAAATACTCATTTGCCTAATAATTCCGCACTCCCCATATGTGTTTCAGTAGAGAAGGACCCATCTAACATGGTGGTGACGCTGTTATGCTCACCAGTACCCATTTGTGCGTCTACAACTTCACGTTTATGTGGAGCACATCCAGCTCATGAGCCACTTTTTCTGGCAAACGAGACACATGTAGCCCCCAAGCTGTAAAGGTTTCACTAAATCCCTGTTTCTATTAAGAGGTGGTGCAGTATTGTGTCACTCATTTTTACATGGTGAGCTGAAGCCCAAGCTGCTGTCCTTGGGTTTCCCTTTTGAGTGTGGTGGCAGAGAGAAAGTTTAGCTTGGCATGTACACTCTGCTGTTAAATAGTTTGTGCAGTGTAGAAATAGTTGTCTTTCACCAGTAATTTGTATGTTATGAGGTGTGTAAATATATAATCACTAGGAATGCACCGAAAACTCAGCCGCCAAAAATTTTCAGCCGAAAATTACCCAAAAGTGCATTTTTGCTTTTCGTCTGAAAAACTCAATTATTAACTCCCAAAATGTATTAACTTTATGGGATTATATTTGGCTCATTAAACGCAACATTGCGACTTTGGCACTCAAAGGGCTAATTTTACAGTCCTTTTAATGCTATGGTTCTAATTACTGACGTCATTTCTTACTGTGTTTTGGTTTCCTCATTTTCAGTTTCGGCCAAGAATTTTCATTTTGGTGCATCCATAATAATCACAGATATCTTCAGTTTTTTTGCCTGTGGTTGCAGGATTGGCCCCAAGTAGGTTGTTCAAAGCTGGTTTTACCAAGGGCACTAACTACTCAGCCTAAAACAGCTCTGTACAGCATGGGTTCATTCAGTTCATCCGAGTGTAGTTGTGTTTCTGCCTACTCTGTGGGGGGAGGAAGAGGGGAGTGTATCTTTACTACACACAAAAATGGCATGAGGTGATCAGTAAACAGTGTAAGGTAACCTGTATAGTCCACAGAAACACAACTCGTCACAAAAGTGGTGGTGTTGCTGGACATTCTGCTCAGTTTTATGGCTTTATATAGTCTGACTGAACCAGGAAATGGCGGCAGGCAGTGAAGCAGCAGGCAGAAAACCCTGCTCCCTCAATGGAGCAGAGAGTAAAAATTAAGAAAAAGTAGAGGAAAAATACCAAATCGTGCTCTCGAAACATGTGGTCGGGCTGAGCTGCACTAATGATAAATGACCTGCACTTGTATAGCGACTCTCAGAGTAAGGACTCCAAAGCGCTTTACACTACAGTGTATCATTCATCCATTCACACACACACATTCGCACACTGATGGTGATGAGCTACGATGTAGCAACAGCTGCCCTGGGGCGCACTGACCGAGGCGAAGGCCAAGTTACTCTGAGTAGTTCCCTTGGAAAACTAGCTCAAATGTTCTACTTTGTGTGGGGCAGTCCCACATTTCTATTACTTTTCACACATCCCGGAAATGGAGACGGTGTCTCGTTATTATGCTGGTGAAGGTTCTCAGTCATCCAGGTCATGGTAATCCCAAAGGGTTCAAATGAAGGCAACTGGACTCCTTTGATTTCTTAAAGCTCTCTCCCCCTGAGCCTGAGATCAGTGGACTCCTTTAAAAAACAGCTGAAGACTCACTTGTTCAAGCTGGCTTTTGTATGACCTTTTTCACCACTCTCTCTCTATTCTGCTCTCCCCTCCTATTCCAGCTTCCTCAGGATCCACTGATTTCCCTCTTTCCTGTTCACTCTCTCTCTCTTTCTTTACATTTTTTAATCACAATTGTCTATTTTTTGCTCATTTTAAATATATTTTTAACCATTTTCTAAATTCTCTTTTATATGTTTACATTTTTTGTTTTTGTGAAGCGCCTTGTGATTTTTATCTTGAGTGGCGCTATAGAAATGAAAGAAGTTTCGCTTTTCATCCAAGGAGCTTTGTCAATTCTGATTGGAATATGAGTGCGTTAAGCAGGTAAACTGTTGCTGTCTCTTATTAACAGGCTCCTGTTCTGTGTTTAAAGCTGGCATTTACAAACTGTAAACTGTGTGGCTTGGGCTGTGATGGTTGTCAATTAAACAAAAAGAAGAAAATTTGGAGTGTTTTTCTGATAAAAAGGAGGATTAAATACAAAATGGCATTGGTTAGGGATTCTCAGATCCGGTCACGTGATTGAAAATCGGGTCCTATAGAGCTCCGGACGTCACGTGACTCAGAGAGTAGACGCCATGTTGGCAGGCAACAAATGTAAACAAAATGAACGGAAATGCTTTGATTTTACTTCGTCTGAGTTTACTTAAAACTTTAAAACCGAAGAAATCGTTTTATGTGGTCAGAAATTAAATAGACTAAACATCTCCGACCCTTACCGTGCCCCTGGGATACTTTTTAAAAACGCCAGAAGCTGTCAGAGCGGACTTCTTACCGGACCTGGCCGGGGAACCCCTTGGGATTCCCCCGGAGGAGCTGGCCCAAGTGGCTGGGGAGAGGGAAGTCTAGGCCTCTCGACGCTACTGCCCCCGTAACCCGACTCCGGATAAGCGAATGAAAATGGATGGATGGACAAATAACAGATTTACATGTAAGTAGTTTAAATAGAGTGTTGTGCTGTTTGAATGTATAAACTGAACGCCAAGTGAAATCACTAGTCTGATTCCATGAATAAAATAAATATGTCAGGCAGGAGCGTCTCAGGATCTGTCTGAGATCTGTCTCGGTGAGACGGATAATTAATCCAAAGTGCTTTTTATGTGTGATCTGACAATTGATCAACCATTGCTTAAAAATTAAATACAGCTTAGCCGGTTAATTGCTGTGATCATAAAACACGTAAACGGCAGCATGCAGAACTCACGAGGCAACGTTTTATGTGACGTTTACTTGTTGCTATGAGTAATAAGACAGAAAAAGCCACGCCAAAATAAGTTTAGGAAGAATTGTAATAAAAGCATTTAAAATAAACACCATATACAGTTGAGGAAACGGTGGTTTAAGTATCTGATATGA